AGGAAGATATCAAACACTTGTGGGCAAACTACTTTACATATCTCACAAAAAACCTAATATTTCATATTTAGTCAACTTATAATGAGAATCATTTGGAAGATGACCTTTGGATATGGTCTGCTCTTAAAAATATCTGAAAAATGGCGAGATTGAGATATGCATAGATGCTAGTTGGGAAGAAAAGGTAACTAACTGATAAGAAAACAATCGTTGGATATTGTTCATATGTTTGGAGCAATTTCGCGGCATGAAGTAAAAAATAAGTTGTTGTCTCCAAAAGTAATGCATGAGCTGAATATCGTGCTCTTGCGCTAACAAAATGTAAGGAAATGTGGATGCAAAGGCCATTAAAAAACTTAAAGTTGACATGAAAGACGCAATTAAGATGTTCAGTGATAATCAAGCAATTATTAATATAGCCAAAAATCATGCACATCATGACAGAACAACAGACATCGAGATTGACCTATACTTCATCTTAGAAAAGGTTATTGTTTGGCTCAGCTATGTTCCTACACCACTTCAGACTATTGATATTCTTACTACAACACTACAAAGAGTCGATCATGATGAATCAAAGTTTAAGCTTTGTTTGTACAATATATTTGACTATTGTTTGGAAGGATTCATATTTGGTTTCTTTTCTTTATTATACATATGTAGCAATGTGTAATGTATGAATTGAGAAATAAAACTCATTCAAAAATTCTACAATTCACAAATAAGTATAATTAGTATTGAATAGGTTGGAGAATGAATGAAATGTTATCCAATCGAAACTTACAAATGCCCAATAGACACTAAGTGTACATGTTAATTTTGACTTGTAAGCCTTTACGGGTTGTCTGGTAACCAATTTAGTAAATTATGTAAATCCAGTTTTACTATATCTTGTGAGCGCGAGAATTTATTAGATCTAGGATATATGACAAAATGAAGAAAAATTTGCAATGAAATTGGAGTTACTAAATCAAGGATTTAAAAGTTGTCATTTTTTTTATTATACCATTAGTAAAGATAAATTCAACTTAAATCTATTACAGGAAGGCCTTTAGTGTTTATGCAATGATTAATAATCAGTTAATAAGGGTAAGAAAAGTGTTGTGGTCTTTGATTAGGATGAAATTAAAAGTTATGAGACTGCTCTTTGCATGAGAGTTAAGGCTTCAAGGTAGACGAGCAATCTGCATTTAATGAAATCATCTTAGCATTGTGTAAGTGCTAGGGCGTCCCTTGGAAGCGACGCGCTGTATAGCATGAATATAGTGAAAAGTGTGTAAGGGCCGCTGCACCGGCGTCCGGGTGTAGTGTTAAATAAACAATTGTTCCTACATTACGAGCAAATGCAGGTAAAGAAGTTAGTCCATGAAACTGATAAAACTAATATTATGATAGGATCTTGGAATATAGGTATTCTCAATGGTAAATTAATGGAATTAGTTGATACTATGATTCATAGGAAAATTAATATTTTATGTATTCAAGAAACTAAGTGGGTGGGAGAAAAATTAATATTTTATGTATTCAAGAAACTAAGTGGATGGGAGAAAACGCTATGGAGATTGATAATTTAGGTTTTAAACTTTGGTATTTTGGTAAAAGTCGCATTAGAAATGGTGTAGGTGTAATTATAGATAAGAGTTTAAAAGATGATGTTGTAAAAATTAATAGAGTTGGTGATAGAATTATAGCCCTTAAGATTATCATTGATACTAAGATTTTTAATATTATAAGTGTTTATGGTCCTCAAGTAGGTTTAGATTTAGAGTCTAAAGATAAATTTTGGAATGACTTAGAAGACTTAATACAAATGATACCTCTTGAAGAAAGAATTTTTATTGGAGGAGATTTAAATGGACATGTCGGTAAAGTGGTAGAAGACTTTAGAAATACTCATGGTGGCTACGGTTTTGGAGTAACCAATGAAGAAGGTAAA